TTTAGGGCAACCCAGTGCACTAGTCCCGCTATGCGCAGGGTCCCGAAAAGGGTCGGACCACAAGGGTCTATCGTATGCGGCCTTACCTTGCATTTCTGGAAGAGACTGTTTCCACGGTTCATTGGAGGTGTAATTTGAAATCATAAAATGCCCCTTTTAGAAGTATTTGTGTTGTGAAAGTGGTAATCAATGTCTTTGGTATTAGAGGTTTATAACATTAAAAATGCTGGAATATATCTTGTGCAAGATGGCATTTTTATTGTTGCAAAATGTGGGATAATATTACTTTTGATGGCACATTGGTTGATTATCAGTTAGTTGGAAGTATTCGTGGTTACTAACTGAATATATGCATATGTTACTTAAGTTGATGCTTGAAGAGAAAAACAAAGAGGTTCTATATTTGTATATCATATAGTTTAATCTTGCATTCTATCATAGTTCTTGAAATTTGAACCTTTTTTCTTCTTCTGTAGCATAAATTTTTATAAGGGAATTTTTCTATGTGCATCTTAATAAATGGAGGCTAACTTTGAATGGAAGACCAACAGCTTGTTCTTTAATTTGTTCAAAAGTTGTGGCTTTTATTATTATTTGGGAGCACAATTTAGAGCAAGGTGCTAAATCTTTGTCTATTTTATTCAAAAAGTTTATCTTTTGATATGTGGATTTTCAAGGATAATAGAGGTGTAAATTTGCGCGGAAACTTCTTTTTGAAGATGACACATTTGTTGTTGTAAAATGTGTCTGGTGTTGGTGGTTGATAATCGAAAAGAATAATGTAATTATCTTGTTCGAGATGCCACATTTATTGTTCCTCCCCGCAGTTTGCAGCCTGAATCAATTAATCTTTTGAGGTTATGTTACCTCTTTGCTTAATTTTCTGATTTGCTCATAATACTGACAGGTTGAGAAGCTTAAGGATTTGTGCTTAAAGCAAAGAGAAGAAATAAAGTCATTGAAAAGTGCCGTGCTGTTCCCGGATGTTATGAATTCTCAACTTCAGGATATTTTGGAGAAGCAGGGTTCAGAACTCATACAGGCAAAGCAGCTTATACCAAATCTTCAAAGGCAGGTCACTTCTCTTACAGGCCAACTACAATGCCTAGCCGAAGATCTTGCTGAGGTAACAATATAAGTCATTATCGCGTGCTATCAGCTTCATATGAATCGTTTAGGTCTGTTTGTTGGAATCTTTCTATTCTCTAAACCACAAAATTCCAATATATATTGTATTTAAAAAGCTGCACCATTACTTATGATAAACAAAAACTAGTTAAACTCAGTCAAGTTTTCTGTTAATATCATTAGCCATTACTAATCTTCAACATGAAATGCAATTGCACCAAACTAGAGTTTGCGGTTGTACTTCAAAGATTCAAAATATCTACTGCCAAAGAGAATCTCCATGATCGAATGATCCATGAACTCTTAAATGTCTTAAAACATATTGCAGAAGAGAAATGATTTTCTACCTCACTGATGAACCACAAAGGCCCCAAGACATGATTGTATTGTTTTTGGTTGCTGCTTGCTCCATCAGAAACTTAGTACTGTTAAAATACTGGTCAAGATGAAAATACGGAAGAATTCTATACGGATCTAGTAGATATAAACTTTTTGAATATTTCACTTTTTCATGTTGAAAGTCAAACTATCACTTCTATGTTTCTTAAAAAATGATTTGGAGGGAGCTATATGTTGGGATCTTGCATCATTTCGTTGCCCATATAGCGTTGGGAATAAATTGTTTAATGGGGTTTTTTCTGCTCTTCCACTCTGTAAGATGAAAAAACAAAGGTAAGGAGTGCCATTAGCTTGCTCTTTGGTTTCTCATGTCATCAAGTAATATGTTTGTAGTGTAGTTTACCTTCTGATAGGCGCAAAACACTCCTGTTTCTTTTAATTACGCTGCTCTGTTGCTACCACAATTTTGAAAAGTCTGTTGATTTGGCACCCAAGTGCTTTGGATGTAATAGTGCAAATGTCTTTGGTTTATCATAAGACCAGCATTAGATTGTTTGAGAAAGTGGCTGATCCTATAATTTTCACAGGTCAAAGCTGATAAATATGCTATAAGAGGGAGCTATGATTCTCTTGGTAGCCCTCCAGGATATGATCAAGAAGAAGCAGCTAATTCTCTGGTAAAAACATCTGAATAATGTGCAAAAGTTTCAAATGCAACACGAAGTTCGTTGTGAACAGATTACTGATGTAGCTTAGATAATATCCTTTCATGCATTTATTCTGCTCAAAGTTATTATCCTTTCTAAAGGTATTTGACATGAATATGCATGTTAGGCATTCGCTTCAGGGGAATTGATTAGGTTTCTTTGTTTCTTTTAGGAATTCAGCTCTGAGGATCACACTATTCCCGGCAGTCCAGATGACATGTTTCTCAAGGATGTAAACCCCTGCTTAACACCTTATTACGCCAAGACAAAGTCCAAGGTGAGCGTCTCATTGGTGCATTCGTTGTGTAAAGTTCGAAAGTTGTCAGTGACAGCCCTTCTTGTGAGGGCAATCCTGAATTTGCTATTGCTTTGAAATATCTTCTTGATACATAGTTTTTATGCTCTTACAAATAAGGTAACTCGTGTTTCAGTGTCTAACATGTTAATTTTTTAGGAATTTGAGAACTTCAATTCTCCTGATGCTAAAGATCTGGTAAAAAACAATATTCAAGTTTATCATGAGACCAGCTACAGTTCTTGTGCAAGGAAGTTGTCGAAAAGTTCAGACTGTCGCCAACATTCCAACACAGGTAATAAAGCAACCCGTGCAGCTCGCAGATCTGATGAAAGCAAATGCACATACGGAAAGCAGGTCCCCGGTAGGTTCTTCTGAATTGTCCTCAATCCTGAAGATGCTTCTTGAGGGCAATAAAGCCTTAAAGTCCGATAGCTCAGCTGAGAACAACATCCGTGGTGAATGCATAGCGTCAAATTCCTATTCCCTTCTCTTCTTTTCAATATACTATCGAAATCAATCTGCTTTTCAATGTTCTTTTTAGATGTAGACCAAGTATCTGGTTCAGTATACATTTTGTTGGTATCTTATAAGATATGCTGGCCTAATTCCAATAGTCCATGAATCTGAGTAGTCATGGTTATGTTTTACAAACCCTTGTGATTCGTTAATAAGATGATAATATCATGTAATGCAAGTGTATTTCAAGAAAGATCAAGCCCATGGAATAATCATGGCGCGCTAAGGATGCAATTTCAAGATTGTATTTCACTAAATCAGGGTAAGAATATCATATCAGTGACTCCACACTACTATATTTAGGAGGAGCTATTCCATGATAGGGATCATCGTTATTTTAAATATTCTAACTATTATTAGAGAAAGCAGTTGTTTTGGACTTTGGACCATTCAATGTTTTCTCTTAAAATATAGAATCTTTATGTAAATAATTGATGGCAACTAACCTAAACGATAAAAGCATTTACCTGTGCTCCTGAATTCAAAAGGTCAGACAGGATCTGCTTTGAATTCAGCCTTTTTTCCCCTTTCTTCCCACTATGGATATTACTGGCTAGAAATGACACCAGGTAGCCACTCTAGATGGTTGCTATTTAGGAGTTTGATGGTGCGTCCTAAATTTCAGTTTTTCAGTTCAAATTTTAAGGACAAAAATGACCTGAATTGTCTTGAAGTTGAGATTTTTAGTTTAAATTTTATGGCAGAATAAGTATTGGCTAATCTCTAAATAGCATTCCTGAGAATGATTATCTGTGCACGACCGGGATGGTTCAGTTTTGATATAAACTGAACCAAACCAACTATATTTGTTTTGATTGGTTCGATTTTATCGGGGGTTTTCAGGTTTTTGTTACATAAATATTTGTTCAATTTTACTTTGTTAAAGTTATAGACAAAGTTTTAATAAGTAAATACAGGTTTAGTAAAATTTAAAAATTTGACGAACATATGATCTATTAAGATATTCTTATAGAAGAATGTTTTTAGTAACATACATTATAGTTATTTTCTTAGTAGTTTAATAATAGTTGTTCGTTGATGTACGCTTTCAAGGTTAATAGATTTAATAATTAAACATAAAAATCAATACTATACCTAAATAATGATATATTCTATTTAATTTTAAATTCTCGAAATACCATTTCAAATTCGAAAAAGATATAAGAAATCTTGACATATGAATATAGAAGAACAAAGAGATGATTGACGCATTTTAATAACACTTGATAAGAAATTGATGATACATCCCATTATTTAAAGTAAATAAAAATGAATACACTTCATAATTCTATTAAATATTACATCCCACGAGAGCATCCCAAATATTTCTAGACCTTTTAAAAAAGAAAATTATATATAAAGCCTTAAAAGATATATGTCGGTTTGGTCCGAATTTTTTTACTTAATACCAAACTTTATTAAATCAAACTTAATCGGCTTTTTTAATCGGTTTGATTTGACTTTTCCATTTGGTGCAATTTCCCCCCAAGATATTAGGATATATGACCTCTCTTTAAATTTTTCTCATGGGAATCGGTAGCAAATACGTCTGGAGGTCTGAAATAATTTATTATTTATATGTGTGTGTGAGCGCGTGCACTTCTCAAATTGTTAGTGAGGTCCAAATTCAAATGGTTAAAATATCATTGGTTGGGCATTATTGCTTGTAATTTATTACTCCCTTCGGTCCAAAATAAGTGATTTTTTGGATGTTTTCACACAAATTAAGAAATCCATCTTTTAGCATTAACTAGCAATGGAATTGACCATATTAACCTTTACTATCTCACATAAACACTCCTAACACATATTCCAACACCATTTACTTCAAGGACAATGTAGGAAAAAAATAATTAATTCACTCTTTTTTTTGGTAATTAAGTAATTTTATTTACCAAGGGAAAATATATTTACAAGCAAAACAAAACTCATACAGTTGGACATCCCCAACTTTTTACATTCATCTTCTCTTCCTCCCTATCCCCTTAGTTACAAAAATAGAGAGAAGTTAACTAAGGAAAGAAATTCATCCTTCTCAATTGCCCCGCAAGTTTCTGATCCCACTGTCCTCTGCAATGAACATCTTGTGTTATTAATCTGCTTAGAACTTCAACACTTCTCGACTTCTTTTGGAAGATTCTTAAGTTCCGCTCTTTCCATAAGTAGTACACACATCCTGTCATTGTTAATCTGTAGATTCCAGCTTTAGTATCCTTTCCATTTGCATTCATAACTGTCCATGCCAGTTCTTGATTCCATCCCATTGGCCCTCTGTTTATTTTCATCCATGTGAGCATTTTTCCCCATAGGGCAGCAGAGAAGTTGCACTTAAAAAATAGGTGCTCAATGGATTCATCGTCATTGTCACACAGAGGACAAATTAGCTCAGTCATCACACCCCACTTTACTAATCTATCTCTAGTATATAGCCTCCCCAGTGCTGCCAATTGTAGTATGAATATCCATTTAGGATATCCTGGATTGTTGCATATTAGTCTCTTCCAACTCACCTTTGGATAATCTCCTCTAAGTTTGTTGTATATCTTCTTGATTGAGAGGTGACTGGTCTTCAAGATGTCTTCATATACGTATCCTGCTTTCTCCAAGGTATCCTTTGCCTTCATCACTTTTTTAACCATCCAGGACGCTTGTGGAGGGTCACACCCTCAAATATGTTTACCCTTCACATAGTAGCTATGAACCCATTGTATCCAAAGTCTATCCTTCTTTTGGCACAGGTTCCAGAAATGCTTGCATATTGCAGCTTTATTCCATAGGCATATATCGATGACATTGAACCCTCCCGCTGACTTAGGATAACACACATTATCCCATGATAGTGATGCCTTCTTTGTCATCTTATTGTCTCCCATCCAAAGATAGCTTCTGCATATAGATTCAATCACACTAAGTATCTTTTTAGGCATAATAAATGTCTGGCACTAGAAGGTTTGCATTGAGAACATGATACTTTTAATAAGCAGAAGTCTCCCTGCATAGGACAAGAATTTTGCTGCCATGTTGTAACTTTTCCCACTATTCTGTCCACTAAAGGTTGGCATTGTGAGACTGATAGTCTTTTGGAACTTAGTGGTACACCTAAGTACTTTACTGGTAGTGCACCTTTGGAAATCCCCAATATGTTCAGAATAGCTTGTTCTATATCCTCAGGTACTCCTCCAAAGAAGATTGAACTTTTGTGTTTATTCACTACAAGTCCTGAGCAGTAGGAGAACTGGAGAAAATCATATAATAACTGCACAGATCTTATATCACCCTTGCAAAACAAAAGTAGGTCGTCAGCAAAACCTAGCTGTACAATCTGCAATTTCTCACATCTGGGATGGTAGTTAAAGTCTGGTATCAGCCTCAGGGTCTTCAATTTTCTTGTCAGAAACTCCATTGCTACTACAAACAGGAAGGGGGATAGAGGGTCCCCTTGTCTTAGTCCTCTCCTGGCCACAAATGGTTGCGTAGGTCTTCCGTTAAGTAAAATGGAATATGTTACCGTGGTAACACAACCCATAATCCACTTCACAAATACAGCAGGGAAACCCAAACCTACCATAACTTGCTCCAGAAACACCCACTCAAGTGAGTCATAAGCTTTTTGCATGTCCAATTTCATCACACATCTTGGTGATAACCCTTTTCTTCCGTAGCCTTTAATCAACTCATGGCTTAGGATAATGTTGTCAGTAATTAGCCTACCGGGGACAAATGCAGATTGACATTTATCAACCAAGGTATCCATCACCCCTTGTAGTCTCTTGGTTAGTACTTTTGAAATAATTTTTAGAGGATGGTGCAACATGATATGGGTCTGAATTCCTTTATAGATTCAGGATTCGGTACTTTAGGTATTAGTGTCACTGAAGTACAGTTAATAGCTTTAAGCATGTTGGCGGTGTTGAAGAACTGAAGGATAGCTTCTGTAATCTCCTCCCCAATCACAGGCCATGCTTTTTTGAAAAAAACAACATTCAAGCCATCACACCCTGGTGCTTTTCTATCATCAATATCCATCAAAGCTTGGTACACTTCAACCCTTGATATTGGCTGATAATTAATTAATTAATTAATTAATTAATTAATTCACTCTTGAAATCTGGAAAAATCACTTATTTTGGACCACAAGAAAAAGGCCAAAAAATCACTTATTTTGGACCGGAGGGAGTATATTATGAAGACTGATTTTAACTCTATCAAAGGTACAGAAAATAGATGATATTTTTTTTGGGGAGGGGGGGGGGGGATTGGGTGGGAGAAATTTAAGAAAGAGAAATTCATAGGGTAGTAACCAAGTAAAAGAGAATTTTTGTCACAAACTTATTTATAGTTTGGTTGAAAAAGTAATTAATTAAGAGCTTAAAGTTCTTGGGCTCTTGGGCTTAAAGTTCATTCTTCTGGAGAAACTAAGAGCTTCCATATTCATAGCGTCCCACCATTAATTGCCATCTTCACAACCTGGAATATAACTGCACATCCAAAAAGAAAAAAAATGATTTATTGCATCACTTTGGAAAAGGCAAAAAGAATGTGAAATTCTAGAAGTAAGAAGAAAAAAAAAAATTCAAGTGAAAATGATATTTTAAAATTAAAATTATGTTTGGACATGAATAAAATTTGGAACTGTTTTTAAATTTTTGCGAGTGATTTAAAGTGAAAATTTTGAAAATAAGTTTTTTAGAGTTTTTCAAATTTTCAAAAAACTTCAAAATTTTACTTTAAGTGAAATTTAAAATTTTCATAGCCAAACACTAATTTCGAAAAAAAGTAAAGATTTTTCGAGAAAAAGTGAACTTTTTTAATGGCCAAACGGGCCCTTAGACTATACTAAAGTAAAGAGTCATTTAGAAAGCGGCTAGTAGTTCTTTGTGAAGCTTCTCGAAGGCCAACAACTATTAAACAAAATCCGCATCGCCTATTGACTCGTTCTGCTTGAGGGTTTGTAAATATAAGTTTCAAGTCCTCTATAACTGAATAAGACTGTAGTTCATTGATGAGTGGTGGATAAAAACTAAAAGTCATCTCGAGGTTTAAATTCATCATCATAGAAGCTGAGGCGGAGCTACTAGGGTGGCGAATGGAGGTTCATCTGAATCCTCTTTGCTGAAAAATTACATTGTATATATAAGGTCAAAATTATTTTTTATGCACAATTAGTGGATGATGAATCGCCTTGGCATGTTGGCGTATTTACTTTTTAATATTCCGAATCCTCTTGATAAAAATTCTAGCTTCGCCACTGCATAAAAGATATACTTATATTCCACGCCAACTGATTTAAAATCTTGATTTCGCCAATGGACTAAATATACAACTTATGATTTTTTTTAATAAAGGTTAACAAGCTTATTATATACAAGGAAAAAAAAAGATTATATAGAATTAGGGAAACTTACAAGATCCAATGACCAAAACAGCAAAGAGAGCAAGAACAATGTGAGCTGGTTCCATTTTGTTCTTTCCTGTTAGAGGATTCAATCCTCTTCTTGTGATGTTCTTCTCAAACTTAGCTATTTTCCTCTCTGCAACTCTTTTTGATGTAGTCTAGCAAATTTCCAAAAAAAAAAAAAAAAAAAAAGAAAGAAATCACTATCATTATTATCAATTTCTTTAAAAACATCAAAAGGAAAAAAAGTCAAAAGAAAAGTAAATTATATTATCCAAAATCAATTATTAATTTTGTTCTACGGTCAGACCTCTCTATAACAGCATTCCCTATAACATCCATTCACTATAAAAGCCGAGTTATTCTCGAAACCCGATATAATATCATGTTATAATATGTGTCCTCTATAATAGCACTTTACTATAACAGCTAAAAAATTTCGGAACAAACGAAACTGTTATAGATATGTTTGACTGTATTTTTTTAAGATAAATCGCAAAATGTTACACCTTTTTACCGTGTTTTAAAGAAAAAATATCCACCTCAAGTATGTGTATAGAAACATAAATGCATTTATGACAAAAAACAAAAAACAAATAGAATTAGGTGAAAGTGTGGTCAACTTACGTTGTCGGGTTCCAAAAGCTCCGATAAAAAAAAATCAAAATATAAGGATAAATCAAGTAATTTTATTTTTTTTTAACAAGAACAAGCAAAGCAATTAAGTTAGTGATAAGGATAATCATCATCTAATTTTGTTAACAACAAGACTAGATTAAAGAAAAGGAAGTAAAAAGAAAGAAGAGTAATAACTACAAATCTATGGCTCTATTGATTTTCTTATTAGGGCGGCGTTGTGGCGTTTGCAATAATTTTTTTTTTAAAAAGGTTGTGTCAGGGTGCTGACGTCTCTATTATTTCATCGAGTACTTACTATTTTTCAAATAGCTTGACGGCCAACGGTCAAATTACGATGAACCCTTTAAATAATACAAACGATTCACACAATTAAATCCAACTAAATTGAAATTGAGACGTAGTAGTACGGATATACTCCTTTCATATTCCTCGACATTAAAAAACTTGCAACAAATAGGAGAATAGAATCATATAAAAAATCCCATGGAAAAAAAATTCTTCCAAGCACCAAACTTTGTAGTAATCTACGATTTCAATCAGAGTATCGCCCACAAAATGAAAATCAAGAGAAGAATGCATTAACTAGTTTTAAAAAGATAAGATCGCGAACATAATAATTTCTGATTGATCATGTTCAGATACTTTCCAGAAAGAACAAGCACGACTGGAATGGATACTGTCATACAAATCTATATGCTTGAATCAAAGAGGACATCAACATAGAGAAGGAGAAAAGGAAGAGAAAAAAAAGAAGAAAAAAAAGAGAAAGACGTTTTTACCATTTTTTCTTGTGTGTTTGTTGATTTGCTTCAATGGTGTCAAGTAGAATAAACGAAGAATTAAGTTGGAGGCTGTCTGTGAAAAAATTGTAAGAATCCGAGAAAACCTAAGACTTGTCTGTGAAAAGAAAAATTTATTTTTTGTGCGTTATCTTTTTTAGAAATCAACCATTTCAAAAGAGGAAAAACATTCAATGTTTTTCTACTCTAATTAATTTGGTTATTGCATTAATTGCTTCTTGCTTTAATAGCCAATTTAGCTTATACGACAGGTGTTAATTTTCTCTTCTTTTTTAACCAAAAAAAAAAAAGGAAAAAAAAACCCAAATACAATGGGCAGAAATACTGTCAGTATCACTTAACAATGTTCATTCAATCATTAACTAATATATATATTTTCGCAACATCTATGATGTACAATATATTATTATGGTGAGATTAATTAATCATTTCTTCGAAAACATCAGACAAAATTGAAACATATAATATCACTACGTAGTCCATCTCGTGTTACTCGAAATTAAGCATCCATCTCCGAAAAATATATGTTCCCCTTAAAGTAAAATAAATATAGTATGTCCTTTCATCTTGGTGCTTTAGACCCCATTTATTATTATTTTTATTTTTTATAATGGAGATCTGAATTTGAATTATTTTTTATCTCACGTACGAAAGAGAGTTTATAGCAATCTTCTTATAGAGAGGGAAAGGCAAAGGACAATCGATTATGAAGATGCGATGGTATTGCAAAGATAGGAATGAGTTTGCAATGTTATTGAGTACATGGAAGAAGGTAATAGATCGACTTCAA